GTCTTAATCTTCTAGCTGAGAAAGTTAATATTGTCAGGAAGGGATGGGTAAAATGTGTGGTTTCCCAAATGAAAAAAGGCTTTGCAGCAAAGCAGCCGAAAATAAATACATGAATGCTTTATTTAGTCATATTGCATATGTGTATGTGTCTTTTGCAAAGAAGTGAAATCGGAAGACCAAGTTCAGGAGCATTCAAAACATTCTTCAAATTTCTCATCTTTCTGTTTTATTAACAGTTGTTGGGATAGATGAAGTTTGGTGCTTCCAATTTTGTGCTTCACGGATCAGAGACCCATGCTAGGAGTTTCAGTTAGTCCCATCTGAAGTTACTGCTGCTATCTTCTGATGCTGGTTGTCTTCTCACTTAAAAAAAAATTTGCCTTTTCTAGAAATTCAGAGCTTAGTAATAAAAAGAAACTAGAGCTTAGAGGGAACGGCTATACAATATGGCTTTACAATCATCAGTTTCATTAAACCTCTTTCTAAAACTAAAAAATCCAGATTTTGTAGTCAATTTCTCTTAACTTGAACATGTTCATCAACTGTACATGTAGGTATCAGATCTCTTCTAAGTGCTGCAGTTATAATAATGAACAAGACAGATGCACTCAGCCTGTGGAGTTTATACAGAGGAGAGACAACTACCTAAGTGTAAAAATGCATTCTGTACCTGTCTAGCTTCCATCATGAGAACTGTCTACCCTCCACCAGATATAGGGGTGTAAATACCAACAAAAAAAAGCTCAACATTACCAATATCTCCATGGGGAAGCAAGATGTAAATAACAGGCTCTGAGGTTACAGAATGGCTTTTCTAGAGAGGTAGTGGTGTGCTGCCACATGTTTCCCTGCTCCTGGATTATAGTAATGTGCGTCCCCTCCCCCATACACACACGCTTTCCTCCAAACATCTGCACTCCACACCTGACGTGTTAGGATAGAGAACCTAGTTCAGTGTATCAGGATTTCTGGGTTGCAGTCCTTGCTCTTCTACTATTTATAGTACCGTGGGAGAGTGATAAAAAAATGAACAGTTACCTATTTTGAAGTCTAAGAAATCCTATCTGAAGTGATAGTCTCATTGAATTCTTCCAAGTCTGTGAAGTGAGTGATATTCTTGTTGAACACATATAAATTTTTACAGCTAGGAAGAATTTGATACTTGGACCTCAAATAATAATATTTAACATTTAATGAGTGCCTACTATATATGTTCCAGGTCTGGTTAGGCACTTTATATACCCTATCTCATATTAAATATTAATATTAACTAATTTATTACTAATTTAAATGTTATTAAAGTATTATCCCTATTTTACTGTGGAGAATCCAAGGTATGGGGAAGTGAAGGGACTTGCCGCAAGACACACATCAAGCCAGATCTGCCTGGTTCTAGAATTCATGATTTGTGGCAGAGGTTTGTTGAAAATCCAGGCCCTTTAGAATCTATAGTCCATTTGTGCTCTGTGTATTCAGTCAGACTTGATTTTAAACATGGGTCAAGAATTAGCAATAATGTGTCCTTTGGCAAGTCAATTAATCTCTTAACATTAATTTCTTCGTTTGTAAAATGGGGACAATAATAAACAGCAGTCAGTGTTGAGAGGTTTCAGTATGGTTACACACACAGTAGGTCCTCCAATAAATGATAGTGTCTCTCTCTGCCACCTTTCGGCAACCATTACTCTTTCTCCCACCCCTACACTCTATGTTCTCTCAGCAGAGCTTCTTTTATTTCTTTATTTTTGGCATTGGGTTAGAGGGCTGGGATCTCTCTCTGTTTTGAGATTGACAAAGCCATTCCGGGATTAGAGTAAAGAGAAGAAAATGCCCAGCAACAAGTATTCCTGAAGTGTCCAGACTGCGCTCATGAAACTTTGCTTATATAATTGAATTAAATTAGTCTCTCAGAGGTATTTCAGCAGACTCCCTGCACATGGTGACAAGTGGCAGACTTCAGTGGTGATTCAGAGATTAAGGACTTCATCGGGGAACAGAAGTAGGCCAGTGAGGGCAAACAACAGGCAGACAACTAGACTGGGTCATAGTGGTGAGAACACTCAGTAGACCGTGTCTGTAAAGTAGTTGGGAGGAGAGGTAGAGCCATGAGCACACTGAAGAATCGGGGAAGCCTTCTAAAGTGTGATGGTTTAGTTGTGGCTAGAGGTGGCTAAGAGAAAAGAATAAGCAAGGAATTTCGTCAGGCCTGGTGAATTAGGGATGGGTTCGCCTCTGCATAATCAATTTCCCCTTGTGTCCCACACCTCACTCCTCTTCCTCCATGCTCCATATTAACCACTGTCATTTGATTTGAAGAGCAATTTAAATGGGCCTCACAAAGCTGTATGTTAGAAGATCGACAAAGCCGGTCTCAAATGGAAGCGAACTTCAATGAGTGATTTGGGTGTACTCTAGCAGGGTCTGGCTCATAGAAACAGAGTTCTAGAAATGAATTTCTTTTAGCTGGAAGGATGTAGGTCTTCATGAAGTAAGATTTGTACGCAAAACTCAAGGAGAGGAATAATTCACTAGTATCTTTTAGAAATCAATAGTGAACATTTTCATACCCAACTTAGTGATATATAAATGAGAACAACATTTTGGAGGGCATTTGATAATATGTGTCCAAGTTCTTCATTGTATATACGCTTTCACCCCATAATTTCACGTTTAAAAAATTTTCCTAAGAAAATATTCAAAAGTACAGGTTAAATACCTTTTATACTAGCAAAAAATTGGCAACAACCTAAATGTCCCACAGTAGGAGATTGCCTAAATAAATTATGGTATAATCCATATAGATAATAACTATATACGGTTTTAAAATCACATTTTAGATAAATATTATTTAAGTGAAGAAATTCTTATTATTAAAAAATCACAGGTCAAAAATACTGTGTATGGAATGACAACAACTTTGACAGTAAACCTAATGCATGGATAAAAACCTAGAAGAATATACACCAACATTTTAATAGTGGAGTTATGGATGTTTTAAAATAATTTCTAAAATACATTTATCTGCATAAACATAAATGGAAAAAAGAAATAATCTTTTTTCAAATAGCAACATATAAAAGAAAGTTTCTAACAGGTTATTTAAGAGGCAAAGTATCTAGTAATAATATTTGTTATGTATATGTATATATATACATTTATACATATACATTTTAATCATTTGTTTTTACTAGTAGTTTCTTTTAAGTATGCTAGGTTTGTTAAAGATATTAGTTTTTGTTTTCTCCAAAGTTGTGTTCCTTTATCTTTTCAGTCCTCAAATAGAGATTTTGAATGTTATTTTGCAAAGAGTATTAAGTGGTTGTTTAGTTGAAATGGAGGAAGATGTAACTCATGACCATTTTTCCTTTCCCGTCAACCTCAGCTTTTATCATACAATTTCCTTTTACCACTTTGGTCAAGAGGAGGGGCAGAACATTTTGAGTTGTAGTACCACTCAGAGACAATTCATTTCTGCCTTCGTCTTGCAGCCTCTCACGCACCCAAGGGATCCAGGATTGGAAAAGCCAAGTTCTCCCATCTTGTTTTTGGGTCAGCTTCCTCCACTTGCATCACTGCATGACACAGACACAGGTAACATCTGCTCTCATTCCTCCAGATCTTTGTACCTGATTATGCTATTAGTCCTACTTATAAAGGAAATATCCTAGAAATATGGCATTTTGTTACAGATGACTTGGCATGAACATGAGATTGATGGGGAAGCATTTTCTCTTGATTTCTTTAGGGCTGCATTAACTCGGAAGGATGTGAAAACCGTAGTTCAGCATTCACGAAAAGTTATTTTCTTTTTTTCAAGATGCTACGATTTTTGTGTTACCTAAATGAAGAGGGATTTGGGGGCTTAATTACTTTTTATTTGGGTCTAATGATTTACATATTATCTATCATTCTTAAATGGTTCTGTAATAGAAAAACTCCTTTTCCTTAGGAAATTAGAGAAAATGTGCATAATTAAGTTTAGAAAATTTTATAAATTAAAAAGTTTTAAAAGAATATAGTTACATGTGTAATTTGTTTTCTATATGTCTTCTTTTGTAGATATCATCTTTTCATACTGATTAATATATGCAGCAAGGTAAATTTTAAATATTTACTGTTTAAAAATTTTTTCGATATTAATATTTTTAATAGATTGAATTCTTTATGGATATTAACTAATTACTGCCCACTGACAAATTTATTTTCACATAGGCTTCTCTGCCAACATCATACACTAGAAGATTATTTCTAAATTTTAATATGTTTGAGTCATTTGGGATTAAAAATACAAGTGTCTAGGCTCCAACCTAAGCGATTTTTATTCAGCACCTCTTGCGTGGGGCACTAGAATCTGGAGTCCTAACCAGTCTGCAATGTTAACCCTCAATAATTCTTTCGCAGATGGTGTGTGGGATACACTTTGGGAAACACTCTGGTAGAGTCATGTAGTTGAAAAGAATGCAAGAAGTTTTTAAATTTATATGTAGGTCTGAACCTGTATATTGTTGTTTTAAGTCAAAATATTTATATTTTTTCGGAATTTCAAAAATACAATTTTTGTTTTTTGAATTGATAGTTTTAAAAGTGTCTCAGTAATTTGGGATGGTACCAATTTTAACATGCTTAACATTTGTATATGTATGTTGAACAATTTGAGCTATATTGGCTGGGTGAATAGGACTCAGCCTATTCAATCTACTGGTAGATTTTTACAAAATTCTTTCCGTATTTTCTAATAATTATGGCAGTAATCACAAGGCGTATAAGTGACTTTATCAGAGATATTTCAAACTTTTCCATTTCTTACAGACATCAATCTCAGTCTATGTGTTTTACACACTTAAAGGAGTTAATAAACATACACGCATATACATACAAATAGACACACATGCCTCTTATTCCTGGTATGTTCCTATAGACTGACATTTTAATTTCTCTTTAGACAGAAAACATCCTGTTGCAAAGTTTTAATGCATAACATATTTCTCTTCTTACTCTAGACATGAGCAATCAGGAAGTGATTTATTCCTCCTTGAGGGTTCTTCAGTCTCCTTCAGAGTCACAAAATAGGTCAAGGCCTGGTGCTACTCAAAGACATGGGAAAACTGATGACAAAGGTATATGTTTTAAGCATCTAGATTCACCTGTCTCTAATGGATTGTCAAACTTCAGACTTTTAAAAAAAGTGTTCCTATCTGTATTTCAGGTTCTCAGATGGTAATATGAAATCATAATTGTGTAGACTAGTAGAACAAGTCTTTTTTCTTTTAAGTTTGTGATAATGGAGAAATTAGTGAATTCTTTTAAATTTGAGATGGTAATAGAATGTTTTCATCCAAATTTGTTTAAGAGGAATTCGTGAGGCCTTTAAAATAAAGCACAGCCTAGAGTCTCAAGAAAAGATTGCATCTTCTGGAGAAATAAAAGTCTTAGAAATGAGAAATGAAAAATATGCATTAGATACAATACTTTTTTCTAGAAAAAAAGTATTTTAGATGTCTTAAATATTTACCAAACCTTGATGGCAATGAAGAAGCAAAAATATTCAAATCAAAAGGAGCATTCTGATTTTACTATTCTCTCTGTCTCCCCTCAAATATTGTCACAAAACGCTAAACTGAGAATAACTGTCACTTGTTTAATTTAGTGACAGAGATACAACTTTTAGATACTGAGGACTGCAAAAGCAGGAGGATCAATATAGTATTAACTAAAGAAAAATAGAATTCATGAAAAAGAAAGGGGAGCTGATTTCTGGAAACTCACTTAAGGTTGAACCCCAATCACTTTTGCAGCTTTAGAATATCCACTATTGGCTACAAACTTCTCAAGAATATTGACTGCTTGGGCCTTCCTCTTCATGATTAATCCAGATCACAGGAAGGAGTATACATGTCAGGGTGGATTTTCATAAATGTGTATTGTGTCTACTGCCATCTGTGTTTTTGTCAGGGATGTACTTCAAAATCCTATAGGACTGTTCTTGTGTGTAGGATTTCTACAATGGGTGTATGTCTGTCAGAAATCTGAAACTTTAAAAGTTTAATTACGAGATCACAAATTTAAATCCATTTGTATGATATATTTTTGTAAAATTTTTAGAGAAGATTGTCTTTTTGTTCCAAATGGTGTCCTAGGTTAAGGTTAGTAGCAGGCGAGGCTCTATTCCTAATGATTATTTTATTTGTTCTTTATTTAAAGAGTTTTCAGTGCACTGGCGTCTCATTGTAGTGATTCTTGGGATCCTCTGTTTACTTCTTTTGGTGACAGCCACAGTGTTGGGGACAAAGTGTGAGTAACTGAAATATCTCCTTCAAGTCTGAGTGACAGCAAGAACCACTAATTGTGCAGATATTAACCATGCTCCTACAATTGTGCCTTGGCTGTATTTGGGGAATACCTAAGGTGGCTCTTTTTTAGTGATTTTTCCTCAGACACATCACAATGTCATTTTCATTTTATGTACCTATCACAATGACTGTATCTGTAATGAGCTGTCTCATTCTGTATAATACACGGTAACAATCCTTCTGATAAAGAGTTAGTAATATTCTGCCTTCCGAGTCTAGATCGTTGTAAATTTTAGATAGACATTCTTTAAGAAACAACTATTCAGGGCCGGCCCTGTGGCTTAGCCGTTAAGTGCGCGCGCTCTGCTGCTGGCGGCCCGGGTTCGGATCTCGGGCGCGCACCGACGCACCGCTTCTCCGGTCAAGCTGAGGCCGCGTCCCATATACAGCAACCAGAAGGATGTGCAGCTATGACATACAACTATCTACTGGGGCTTTGGGGGAAATAAAAAAAAAATTAAAAAAAAAAAAGAAACAACTATTCAAAAGAAATTATGACATTCTCTTGATTTTTCTTAAGTATACAATGAAGAAATGGTTTAGTAAAAAGAGTGATTTTATACATGGATGTTAGATGATCTTGAATTCAACCTTTATCTTTTATTTGAATTCCTTGACATCTTTAGCGAAAATCACTAATATGACACACTCAGATAAAATTACGTATTTGGATCTTCCTCTCTTTTCTCCTATGGATATTTCATCTACTCCGATAATAATGGTGCCATTTCTTCATGTTGTTAGTGCAGATTTTCATACTCAGAAGATGTGTTGCTAAATGTTCATTGATTGATTTTCACTTTGGTGCCTATTTGTGAACAATGTGCTGTTAAAAAGAAACTAAAGTGAATGGGAAGGTGTTACCATTATAATTTTATCCAGATACCTTATTTTATTTATTCTATGCTTAAGTTGCTAATAGTGAGAAATTTGATGTTTCTATTTCTGTGGTCATTTTATTGAGGTGTTACTTTCTAAATGTCAAATTATTAATTAATATAATGATATGGATTGGTTATCAAAGTGAGACTTTTTCCCTTGTATTAAATTTCAACATTTAAGCATTGTGAATTCTTTTTTGTATTATATCTATGTTATTATTTTAGTTTTACAGTGTATTCGAGAAAAACACCAACAGGAGGAAATTCTACGAAATCTCCGTCAAAATTGCCACAATATACAAAATGACGCCTACTTAAAGGAGCAGCTTTTGAATAAGACTTTAGAATATGACATTCTCGAAAATGAAACCCTTCAGCAGAAAAAGAAACTGGACTCACTCTTTATAGAAGAGAAGAGATGTCATAGAAAACAGGAGAGCTTTTCAAAGTCTCTGCAAAATACAGGTATTTTGGATACAGGAGGAAATCTTGAATGAAAGGTTGCATGTCTTTTCTATATTTTTTCCCCTTCAAGAAATTTTGAGGCCAGGCCGGCCCGTGGCTTAGCGGTTAGGTGCGCGCGCTCCGCTGCTGGCGGACCGGGTTCGGATCCGGGCGCCCACGGATGCACCGCTTGTCCGGCCATGCTGAAGCGCGTCCCACGTACAGCAACTAGAAGGATGTGCAACTATGACATACAACTATCTACTGGGGCTTTGGGGGAAAAATAAATAAAGAAAGAAAGAAACTTTGAGGCCTAACAAACAGCCTTATGATATATGCTAGTGATCTACGTCTACTGGACAACTTTAAATTGTGCTTGTTAGAAGGAGTATGGGTATCTAGGTTTACTGGTTTCAAATATGGGATTAAGACCCCAGAATTCATGTTTGGATTAGTAGAGCCCTATGTTTCCAGAAACTCAATGGTGGTTCATGCATTCCTACTGATTCCAGAAGGTGAAATAGTATGTCACCTCCCCTGAAAATCTGTGCCATTTTGGAACTCTGGGCAAATTAGACACTCCAACTTTGTTACTGGTGTGAAATATGGAGGCTATCAGTAAAAATATACTTAGGCTACAATGGGCACAAGGACTTTTATTTGGATGCTGTTGTAAAGATAACTCTGTGTGTGTGTGTGTGTGTGTGTGTGTGTGTTTCCATTCTGCCTTGACTTCAGGTATTTGGTCTATTTGTGATCAATATATATTCCCTGCAGCACATCTGCAAGATTCACCATAGTGTTGATGCTTGTGCAACTCTTTGTGATGATACCATTAAAAACTTCCAAGAGATAAGATATTAAATCTCATACAATAAACTCTGTTATCAGGCATAACAATGAAATGAATTGACCTGGTTAATCAACTACTAAATATTTGTTTAGGATTTAGAGTTTGCAAAGAGATTTTTCATAGATAATGTCGTTTGGGTAAGTTGGTTAGTAGAAATTCACTGTCTCTATTACTAGAGGATCAATAATAGTTTAAAAATTGTGGTATACTGTAAAATACATGAGGAGAAAAAAATCCAAAGAATAATGTTTATTTTATTTAGAAGGCTTTCCAGAATCTTTTTTTTGAATTTTATTTTATTATGTTTTAAAACAGCTTTATTGAGGTATTATTATTATGCAAATAACTGCACATATTTAATGTATGCAATTTGACGCGCTTGGCCTTGCATATATTGTGAAACCATTCACAATATGGGCAATAGACATATCCATCACCTTCAAAACGTTCCTCATGTTCATTTCATTTTTTGTACGTGGTTAGAACACTTAACACGAGATCTATGCTTTTAACAAGTTTTTAAGTGCACAATTCAGTATTGTTAACTGTAGGCACTATGTTGTACAATGGATCGCTAGAACTTATTCATCTTGTATAACTGAAACTATGTACCCATTGAACAACAACTCCTCATTCTCCCGCCCCCACCCCACCCCAGTCCTGGCAACCACCATTCTACTTTCTGTTTCTCTGAGTTTGACTCTGCTTTACATCTCATGTAAGTGGAATCATGCAGTATTTGTCTTTCTGTGATTGGCTTATTTCACTTAGCATAATGTCCTCAAGCTTTATCTATGCTGTCGAATATGCCAGGATTTCCTACTTTTTAAGCCTGAATAATATTCCATTGTATGTGTATGTCACATTTTCTTTATCCATTCATCCATTGGTGGACATTTGGGTAGCTTCCATATCTTGGATATGGTGAATAATGCTGCAATGAATATGGGAGTCCCGATATCTCTTGGCCTTCCGGAATATTGATGAACCTCATATTATCATTCTTGATAGCTATTAAGAGTATTTATAGAGGACTGATAAATATATTGCTCTGCTTAACGGAATACCAGATGACAGAAGTTTAATATTTCACCTTGTATGTTGTAGGCAAACTCTATGAAGACCACTGGTCCTGTTGTGGAGGAAAGTGTTATTATTTTACCACTGAACAAAAAGACTGGAAGGGATGTAAACAGACTTGCCAAAGTTGCAGTTTATCTCTTTTGAAGATAGGTGATAAATATGAACAGGTATCATGGATTGTTATATTCACTTTTGTTCTCTTGCACTCTGTGTGCCATTCTTGGACTCAAGATATTGAGGACAGGAGGGAGTCCAGAAAGAGGGACCTTCAGTTATTCTTTGTGTTGTGTCACTTGAGTGGGCAAAAATTGTATAGTTAAGAGTCTTCCGGGAGACCCCTGCCTGCTAATAGGCATATGATCTTGTTACTAAACATTCAGTACATATTATCTATCCTGATGACCGTTATTATTTCTAAAATAGAAACCCCCTTGAAGGTACAGTTTGGGTCTTTGCAATCTTCTCCCTCTCTAAGGAGTCTGCAGGAGACCTTGCTTACGGAGAAGTATGCTTTGCCTTCAATGAAGTACTTAACTCTTTGGTAAATTGCAGCCTGAAACCAGCAATTATTTCTCCCTATAAAGTGGCAACTAAGAACCCGGAGGCAATATAGTCTAGTAGTTACTGTTAGAAATACTGGAGCCAGACTGCCTGGGGTAAAATCCAGTTCTGCCACTTACTGGCTGGGTGACCTTGGGTAAATTACTTAACCTCTCTGGGCCCCAGTTTTCCTATTTGCAAAATGGAGGTAATAATGAGGAACATAAAAGAGATAACAGTTTTACAAGTTAGCCTCTTGGTGATTTTCATTGCATCTGCAGGTAACATTTACTTGATCAGTTTTCTTATATATTACATCAAGGTGTACTTCTTTTGAAAAGAATTGCAAAAATAGAAAATACAGTGACAATAATATTAAAATTATGTTTTTAATTTATTACTAATAAAAACTATCAACATACACAAAATGTGTTTTTATAGGGAAATGTTTGTAAAGATCAGCCTGAAACCTTTATTTATTATTTAGGAAAACAATACAAAATTTATATGCTAATCTAATAGATGTTTTAAATCACAACATAAAATAATTTATGATATCAAGTAATAAAGTAACTTTTTATGTTTGTTTCAGTAAAACACAGTTAAATTTAAACCTATATTTTAAAATACATTGTCATTTAATCAGACATTATGTAATATGTCACTTTAATATATTACTTTATTAGACAGTAAATATTTCCGAATACTGCCCGTTTTCCCTTCACCTCTTCCAACTACTGAACTACAGCCAGGCTTTCTCTTATGAGACTGAAGGCTCTCAGGCACATCTCCCCAGATACACTTGTCATTTTAATAAATTTATTTTGAAGGTTCCTTTTTTCACTTAAGAATATGTACTGATCATTTCTCTACATCCTTAAGTGTTTTTCAGGAGCATGATTTTGAGTGGTTTCATAAAGGTCATAAATTATTTAACACATATCCTATTGTTAGATATTTAGACTTTAAATTTTTCCATGTTTTAAATAATCTATGAGACTGGCAGCCATTTTTAACATAAATAAATAATCCTTGAGGAAATTACTTTGCAAAATGAAAATGCAGGGATTGAGGGGAGAGAAGGTTTTCTAGAAGGAGGGATGAAGGAGGATGTAGCAGAGTAGTGGCCTTAGAAAGAGTTGGGCCATTTACCTATCACTTTCATTCATCTGACAGGTGGGAATTTAGTCACACGATAAGTTTTGTTTCATTTATAGACCTTCATCCAAGCCCAGACTCATCCTGATTACTACTGGATTGGATTATCATATAATGAGAAGGAAAGTAAATGGAAATGGATTGACAATGACACAAGTTCTGGAATGTAAGTCTCTGGAATGCATTCAAACTCTAATATTGGTGTTGGGGTTGGAAGGATTCCATCTAAAAGGAATATTCTCTTATTTTGCACAGCTTAACTCATTTTCAAGTAGCCATCACTGGTAAGAATAAGTAGAATGATTAAGAAAGTGTTTTAGGAAGCATACTTAAAAAGGAAGAGATGCATCATACAGAGTTATTAATAATAGTAAAATTATGATGCTAAAAACATGCTCAGAAGTATGTGTTATGAGGTGCACAAAATAAAACAAAATCATAATGTAAAGTGATATGAAGTGATTAGACCCTCCTGACTTAGACAGTGATCTCTCCCACAACCTCAGATGAATATTTTGAGTATGCCAAGAACTCATTTGAAACTCCTTTACATTATTAGTTTATATTATTTATAAATATAAATATATGTGAGTAAACACACACACACACACACACACACAACTGCACTATGGCTCCTCTATTTTGAAGTGCAATATTTTGTAAACTCTTGCGTTTACATTTAGATAAAATCTACTGTTAAACTGTTCAATGATTTTTTTTAAAAGTCTGAACTACGTATTATATTATTTACTTCTAGATATTTTGTTTATGTTTATAAATCTTTCTGGTTACTCATTTTTTCAAGCTGTCTTTTATTTCCTGAAATATACTAAACGTTCTTATTTTATATTTGGTATCTGATAACTCTTATATTTGAAGTTTTGTGGGTCTACTCTATTGTTTCTGCTGGTGTTTGGTCATGATGCCATTTTCTTTGTAGGGTTGAGTGATTTTTTTTTTCTTCTTTTGGAGCTGCTGTGTAAGTTATTCAACTTGCTGAGATGAAGGTGGCTCCTCAAGAAAGAATTTGCTTTTGTTGGATGCCTTGGGGCACTATGAATCAGGGCCACTTTTTTATTATTATATTTTCTATTGAGGTCATAACAGTTTACAACAGTGTGCAATTTCAATTGTATAGTATTATTTATCTGTCACCATATATATGTGCCCCTTTACCCCTTATGCCCACGGGCAACCCCCTTCCCCTCTGGTAACCACCACTCTGTTCTCTTTGTCCATGTATTTGTTTATCTTCCACATATGAATGAAATTATATGGTGTTTGTCTTTCTCTGTCTGGCTTGTTTCACTTAACATAATACCCTCAAAGTCCATCCGTGTTGTCACAAATGGTGCGGTTTTTTGTTTGTTTTTCCTGAAGAAGATTAGCCCTCGTTAACTTCTGTTGCCAATCCTCTTCTTTTTCGCTGAGGAAGATTGGCCCTGGGCTAACATCTGCGCCCATCTTCCTCTGCTTTATTTGGGATGCCGCCACAGCATGACTTGATAAGCAGTGCATAGGTTTGCACGGGGAATCAGAACCTGTGAACCCCAGGCCGCTGAAGCGGAGCACGTGAACTTAACCACTATGCCACCACGCCACCCCCACGATTTTGTATTTTTTAATGACTGAGTAGTATTCCATTGTGTATATATACCACATCTTCTTTATCCTTTCATCAGTCAATGGGCACTTGGGTTGCTTCCATGTCTTGGCTACAGTGAATAATGCTGCAATGAACATAGGGGTGCATAAGTCTCTTTGAATTGTTGATTTCAAGTTCTTCGGATAGATATGTTATCAAATGGGATAACTGGGTTGTATGGTATTTCCATTTTTAATTTTTTGAGAAATCTCCATACTGTTTTCCGTAGCAGCTGTACCAGTTTGCATTCCCACCAGCAGTGTATGTGAGTTCCCTCTTCTCCACATCCTATCCAACATTTGCTCTTTTTTGTCTGGGTGATTATAGCCATTCTAACAGGTGTAAGGTGATATCTCAATGTCATTTTGATTTGCATTTCTCTGATGATTAGCGATGTTCAACGTCTTTTCATGTGCTTATTGGCAATCTGTATATCTCCTTGGGAAAATGTCTGTTCATATCCTCTGTCCATTTTTTGATTGTGTTTTTTTTTTTTTGTTGAGTTGTGTGAATTCTTTATAAATTTTTGAGATTAACTCCTTGTCAGATATATGATTTGCAAATATTTTCTCCCAGCTGGTGGGCTGTATTTTCACTTTGTCCCTGGTTTCCTTTGCCTTGCAGAAGCTCTTTAGTCTGTGGAAGTCACATTTGTTTATTCTTTCTTTTGTTGCCCTTGTCTGTGTAGACATGGGATTTGAAAAGATTCTTCTAAGACTGATGACAAGGCCTGTACTGCTTATATTTTCTCTAAGAGTTTTATAGTTTCACATCTTACCTTCAAGTCTTTAATCCATTTTGAGTTAATTTTTGTGTACGGCAAAAGATAAAGGTCCACTTTCATTCTTTTGCTTGTGGCTGTCCAGTTTTCCAAACACCATTTATTGAAGAGACATTCCTTTCTCCGTTGTATGTTCTTGGCTTCTCTCTTTAAGATTAGCTGTCCTTAGGTGTGTGGGCTTTCAATTTCTGGGCTTTCGATTCTATTCCATTGACCTGTGTGTCTATTTTTGTTCCAGTACCATGCTGTTTTGATTACTATACCTTTGTAGTATATTTTTAATTCAGGGATTGTGATGCCTCCAGCTTTGTCCTTTTTTCTCAGGATTGCTTTAGATTTTTGGGGTATTTTTTTGCCCCATATGAATTTTAGGATTCTTGGTTCTATTTCTGTAAAGACTGTCTTGGGATTCTAAGTGGGATTGCATTGATTCTTTAGATTACTTTAGGTAGTGTGGACATTTTAACTATATGTTTATTCTTCCAATCTATGAGCATGGAATATCTTTCCATTTCTTTATGTCATCATCGATTTCTTTCAATAATGTCTTATAGTGATATTTATTCCTTATTTTCTTAATGTGATGTACCACATTGATTGATTTGTAGATGTTGAACCATCCCTGCATCCCTGATATAAATCCCACTTGATTGTGGTATATGATCCTTTTAATGTATTTCTGTATATGACTTGCCAGTATTTTTTTGAGGATTTTTGCATCTATGTTCATCAGTGATATTGCCCTGTAATTTTCCTTCTTTCTGATTTTGTTGTCTGGCTTTGGGATCAGGATGATGTTGGACTTGTAAAATGTGTTGGGAAGTGTTCCAACCTCTTCAATTTTTTAGAATAGTTTGAGAATGATAGGTAGTATATCTTCTTTGAATGTTTGGTGAAATTCATCAGAGAAGCCATCTGCTCCTGGACTTTTATATTTTGAGAGGTTTTTGATTACTGTTTCAGTCTCTTTACTTGTGATTGGTCTATTCAGATTCTCCATTTCTTCTTGATTCAGTTATGGGAGGTTGTATGAGTCTACAAATCTATCCATTTCTTCTAGGTTTTCCAGTCTGTGATCATATAGTTTTTCCTGGTATTCTCTTATAATCCTTTGTATTTCTGCGGTATTTGTTTTAATTTCAACTCTTTCACTTCTAATTTTATTTATTTGAATCTTCTTTCTTTTTTTCTTAGTGAGTCCAGCTAAGGATTTGTCAATTATATTTATCTTCTCCAAGAACCAGCTGTTAGTTTCATTGATCCCTTCTACTGTTTTTTTCATTTCAATTTTCTTTATTTCTGCTCTAATTTTGATCATTTCCCTCATTCTGTTGACTTTAGGCTTTATTTTTCTTCTTTTTCCCATTCTGCTGGTTGTAGTTTAATACTGCTTAGTTGAGATTTTTCTTGCTTGTTATGGTGGGCTTGTATTGCTACGAATTTCCCTCTTAGGACCACTTTTGCTGCATTCCATATGAGTTGGTATGCTGTGGTTTCTTGTTCATTTGTCTCCAGATATTTTTTCCTTTATCTTTTGATTTCTTCAATGATGCATTGGTTTTTCAGTAGCATGTTTTTTAGTCTCCATATATTTGTCACTTTTCCAGATTTTTTCTTGTAGTTGATTTCTAGTTTCCTACCATTATGGTCAGAAAAGATGCTTGATGTGATTTCATTCTTCTTATTTATTGAGGCTTGCCTTGTTTCCCAACATACAGTCTATCTTTGAGAATGTTCATGTGCACTTGAAAAGAATGTGTATTTTGCTGTTTTTGGATGGAGTGTTCGATATACATATATTAAGTCCATCCAATCTAGTTTTTCATTTAATTCTGCTATTTCCTTATTGACTTTCTGTCTGGTTGATCTATCCATTAATGTAAGTGGGGTGTAAGGTCCCCTACTATGGTTATGTTCCTATTAATGTCTGTTTTTAAATGTGTTAATAGTTGCTTTATGTACTTTGTTGCTTCTGTGTCAGGTGCATATATATTTATAAGTCTATTGTTCTCTTGGAGGAGTGTCCCTAGGTTGCTGCAGTTGGAGGAGGGAGAGGATATCCCGTTACCTCCTTCCACTGCTTCCTGGAGGGTTCAGCACCTCCACCTTCAGGTGTATGGCTGCGTGGATCTCTCAGACATCTATTGTGTTGTGTGAATGTCCTCTGTGGATTTATGTGTGTCCTTCTCATTGTATCGTAGAGAGAAGAGTCTAAGGGAAGAGCCCACTCTGCCATGATGCTGACATCACCCAGTTTCCAGGACTACTTTTACTTCTAAATATGGGCCCTGCAAGTAGGGTAGTTTAGGGCTGCAAACCTACAAATGATGTCATGCAGGAAATTACCTTAATGTGACCATAGCCTGTAACTACACTTTCAGGCAAACAATCTCAGAGGTCACTGAACAGAAAGGTTCATTGCCCAAATAAATATACTTAAATTGCACAGTTAATTAAACCAATTTAAAACACATCACATTATTCCAGGGCAAAGAAATGGGATAGCTCTCACACTTGGATAGGATGGGACAGGTTGTCACACTTAGGATGAGGTGCAAGTGGGTGAAAAGATCACCTGAATCTTGGGTTAGGCAATCTTCATATGGCCTGCCTCTCTCTGCTGCATAACCCTTTCCTGATGATGGTGTGGTTTCTAGCACCAGACTTGAGGTTTGAGTAAAGGGGCCCAACAGACTGAAGGTTCTTGTGCCCAGCATAAACATTTTCTCTATTGGGGAGATGCAGGAGCATGTAAAACTGACCATAGCTGAAGTTTTCCAATTAATCTTGTGAGCAGCTATGGATTTTATTTGAGTTTCTTAGACAGAGGGCCAGAATGAGTGTCACCAATGGGTGGAGAACTTGAGACCTCATGAATGTTGAGTATCTATGTGCATCATGTATATTTGGAGTATTATATTTAGTGTCTACTTTCTTCTTTCTTCCTTTCCTATGTTTAGCACACATATGCTCTATTTTCTGTGTCTATACCTAACATGTCTCATAGGTTACTAACTTACTTATCCATACTTAATACATCTTATGTGTTCTGCCTATAGCTTACAAGTTACTTAGTTTCATTTATCTTCCTTGTTTGTTTCTCTTCATTCCTATAGCAGATTTGAATATTCTTAAATAGTACAGCATATGAAAATTATATGAGAGATGGTTTATGGTTTTGAATCCTTAGGTGGGATTATTCTTTTACTCTTCTGCTTAAGTGCAAGGTTCAAAGACAGTTCTTCAGTGGTTTATACTGAGGATATATCCCTTTGAGGTCATAACTTTTTGTAGCTTGACTTCTATTTAGAAACTTGGATGGCGTTCATTATTCAGCCTACTACATCAATTAAGGGAAAAACTGACTTCAGAGCTTCAATTACCCTTCTGGGGTCCCACCCTTACTTAACTCTCAGCCTGAGTATGAATTCGTTTCTTGCCAGTTCATAAATTTGTTCAAGCAGGTTTAAATTTTTTTTATTCGTCATTTTACTGTTTCAACACTAAAATAGTTCTGGTACATAATCCATCACTTTGCTCAAGCAGAAGTCCTGCTTTTAGATATTTTTCAATTGATTGTCATGTAATAACAATCATGTGGTAGGGAAGGAAAAGAAATCTAACAAATAAAGACATCAATTAAACAGCCCCATCTTTTGGTATATTCCAATTCTACTTTTTCTCTTTAAGGTATATGCACGTGAGACCTGGTTATCTCTGTCACAGAAATTCAGTTCTTCTCCTTTTTAATCTCTCACTTTTACCTTAAAAAATTAGCATAAGAAAGCACGTTTGCTATATATCATGATCCCATAGCAATATTGCATGGTAATTTTGCCTTCTGACTAAAAATTTCCAGTGTGGAATAAAATGGAATATTATGGGTGTGATCAAGGGGCTGTTATTCTAGTTAAAGACTAAGAGCAAAAGAAAATCTTTTAGTGATGAAGTCATGATTAACATTACCATATTCCAGATCTTTAGGCAACACACTTAAAAAGATGATTTATGTTATTGTAAGGTTAGAATTCAACAGATGACCATATATTTTTTCTTTTCTACAGTAATTTGACAATAATGAGTTTGCGTCCTGGGAGAGAAGAATGTGTGTTTTTAACCTCAACAAGGATAGACAATACTGATTGCTCTAAAACCTATAATTGTATATGTGAGAAGAGAATTGATTGTGTTTCCACTGCCTGCTTCAAGTAGACACAGAAGAAAAGGTGAAATGGAATTTTGTCCTTTATGTCTGTTTTTTTCCTGTGATAATTTGTGATTATTTACAAATTAATGTTTTTGACAGTAAGACTTATTCCATTGTGGAAAAAGAGATGAGTTGGAAGAGGAAGAAAATGTTCTTTTGGGCTATGATTTAAGAGATCAGATGCCGGCTGTCTTCTTGGGGAAGAGGGGAAGATTTTGTCTTTGGAAATCAGTTATCCCTCTCTTTAATGGCCCAGAGAAAGTCTCTCTTTCTCTTTCCTTGAACTACCTACAGAGCCAATTAAAAAACTCTGGATCTGTTCCTTACCCATAGGGTAAATCATTTCCATAGCCTTATGCTTGAGGAGGTAGCACAATTAAGAACTAAGAAATAGTTATCCTGCCCATCTCCCATGTAGATGCTTACCTCTCATTTAATTTATTTTTTACTTTGCTATGATTTCAAACTTATTGAATAGTTGAAACAATAGTACCAGGAACTCTCATATAACCTTTACCCATAGTTGCCATTTGTTTATATTTCGCTCTAGCTGCGCTTTACAGTTCTCTCTCTCTCTCCATACCGATCCACTTGATAATAAACTGGGGGCATTTGTCCCTTTGTCTAAATATTTTACAAGAACAAGAACTTTGTCTTGTATAACCATAGTACAATTATCAAAATCAGGATATTTAGCAGTTCTACAGTACTATAATTTCATCTATAATCCGTATTCAAGTTTTGTCAACTGTCTGGACAAGGTCATTTATAGGTGATTTTCCTCCATGTTCAGGATCATGCAATACATTTAGTTGTGATATCACTTTAGTCTCCTTTAATCTGGAACACTTCTTCAGGATTTCTTTGTCTTCCTTCTCCTGACATTGTAAAAATCAACTTTACTGAGTCATACTTTCATATAATAAAATGCATCTATTCTAAATCATGAGATCAATGGGTTTTTAACAAATGTATACACCTCTCAAATACCATCAAATCAAGACAGAACATTTTCATCACCTCCAAAAGTTCTTTTCTGCCCCTCCCCACCCACCTGGCCCCAGGCAACCAGTGATATGCTTTCTGTCACTATAAATAAATTTTCCCTATTATAGATTTTCATACATCATGTGCTCTTTTGTATCTGACTTCTTTTTGCTCAGCATGTTTTCGAAATTAATTCATGTTCTTTTGTGTATCATTAGTTCATTCTTTTTATTACTAAGTAGTATTCCATTGTAGGGATATACCACAATTTGTTCATCTGCCTACAGACATTTGATGTGTTTCCAATTTTTGGCTATTATGAATAAACTTACCATGAATATTTATGCGCCAGTCTCTGTGTGGACATGTGTTTTCATTTCTTTTTATTAAATACCTAGGAATTTGATTGTTGAATCTTATGGTAAGTGCATGTTTAATTTTGTAAGAAACTTCTAGTTTGTTTTCCAATGTGGTTGCATCATTTTATTTTCCCAGTAGCAACATATGAGACTTTAGTTGCTTTATATCATTGACAAGACTTAGTATTGTCAGTCTTTTTAATTTTAACCATTATGGTGGGTGTGTAATGGTATCTCATTGTGGTTTTTAATTTGCATTTCCCTGAAGACTAATGACATTGAGCACCTTTTCACGTGTTTATTGGCCATTTGTATAACTTTTTTTGTGAAATGTCTGTCCAATCTTTTGCCCATTGAATTGTCTGTTCTCTCTTTTTTAAAATTGGGTTTGTATGTCTTATTATTTGGTTGTAAGAGTTCTTTATATAACTTGGATACAAATCCCTTGTTGGATATATGTATTGCAAATACTTTCTCCCAGTCTATGTCTTCCCTTTTCATTTTCCTAATGATGTCTTTCAAGAAGCAGAAGTTTTAAAATTTTGATGAAGTGTGATTTATAATTTTTTCCTTTTTTTTGCACTTTTTATGTCCTATCTAAGAAATCTTTACCTATATCAAGATCACAGAGATTTTTCCTCTATGTTTGCTTCTAGAAGTTTTATAGTTTTAACGTATATGTTTAGCCTAAACCCATTTCGAGCTAATTTTTGTGTGTGAGAAAAGGGTCAAGGCTCACTATTATTTCGTATGGATATCCAGACTTTTTGCATTATTTGTTGAAAAGACTTCCCTATCCTCCATTCAATTACTTTGGTGCCTTTGTAGAAAATTAATTGACCATATCTGTGTGGGTCTATTTCTGGATTCTCTACCTCATCTCAGTGATCTATGTGCATATTCTTGCAGTATTAGCATACTGTCTCAATTACGTAGCTTTATTGTAAGCCTTGGAAGCAGGCATGCTATTCCTCCAAATTTGTTCTTTTTCAAAAGTATATTGGCTATTCTGGGATTTTGCATTTTCTCAACATTTCTTCAAAAATGCTTGATGTAATCCACGCAGAAATAGAAGTATAATGATGTACACCCAAAATTTATACAATGCTATAAACCAATGTTACTGAAATAAACATAAAAATTAAAAAAGAAATACTTGATGAGATTTTGCCTGGGACAGCAGTGAATCTGTAGATTAATTTGGGAGAATAGCTATCTTAACAATTTTGAGTGTTAGAATTCATGAATATGATTCCTCTCTTCATTTAGTTAGGTCTTTTTGAATTTCTCTCAGCAATATGATACATTTCAAGATATAGGTCTCATACATACTTTGTTAAATTTGTATTTTTGATGCTATTATAAATGGCATTTAACATTTTTTCAAATTATTTGTTAACAGTTTATATAGATGAAATTGTTTTTTGTAAATTAACCTCATGTTCTATCACCTTGCTAAATTTACTTATTTCCTGTAAATTTTTTTTTTTACTTTTCGTATTCCTTAGAGTTTTTCTTTTCTATGTACATAATCATATCCTATGAGAATATAGAAAGTTTTATTTATCCTTCCTTCATTTTTTCTCTTGTTTTATTGTACTGGTTAAGACCTCTGGTTGAGAAGTGACGATAGTAGGCATCCTTGCCTTGTTCCAGTCTTACAAAGAGAAGTATTTAGTCTTTCACTATGATATGTGAGGTCAGCTATAGGTTTTTTTGTAGCTCCTCTTTATCACGTTGAGGAAATCCCTTCTATTCTTATTGATTGAGACTTTCATCATGAATGGGAGCTGATTTTTGTTATATGATTTTCTGCATCTATTGAGATGATTATATAGATTTTGTCTTTTAGTCACTTAACACCGTAAATTGCATTGATGGTTTTTGAATGCTGAATAAAACTTACACTTCTTTGATAAATGCCACTTGGTCATGCTGTATTTATCCTACTTTTGTATATATTGCTAGATTTGCTTGGGTAATATTTTCTTAAGGAATTTTGTGTTGATATTCATAATGGATATTGGTCTGTTATTTTCTTTTTTAAGATGTCTTTTTATGTTTATGGTATTGGACAAATACTGGTGTTATATATTCATTTGTGATATTTTTGAATATTCATCTCTTTTGAGGGGCTAGGATTTGTATTTTCATTCCTTAAATGTTTCATCGAACTTACTAGTGAAATAATCTGGGTCTGAAGTTTTCTTTGGTAGAAGGTATTTAATTAGGAATACCATTTCTTTAATAGTCTTAGAGTTACTTAGACATTCTGTTTCTTGTCAATTTTGATAATTTTTATTTTCAAGAAACTTGTCCATTTTGATTAAATTGTCACATTTATTTCCATATTGTTTTTCATAGTTGTATTAGTTTCCTAGGGCTTCTGTGATAAAGTATCACAAATTTCACAACTTAAAACAACCAAAATGTATTCTCTCACTGTCTGGAAGACAGAAGTCCAACACCGAGGTGTCAGTATGCTTCCTCTGAGATGATGGGTGGAAACTTCCCTTTGCATCTTCCTGGCTTTTGGTGGCCGTTGATCCTTGGCATTACTTGGCTTGCAGCTGCATTCCTCAATTTCTGCCCCTGCCTTCACATGGCATTTTTACCTGTGTGTCTCTGTCTTTACATGCTGTTTCCTCTTCTTATGAGGACACTAGTCCAATAGGATTAGGGCCCAGTCTAATGACCTCATCCTAAGTTGATTACATTTACAAAGACCCTATCTCCAAATAAGGTCACATTCATAGGTGCCAGGGTTAGGACTTAAACATATCTTTATGGAAAACACAATTCAATCCATAACAATAATATTTCCTTATTATCTGTTTACTGTTTGTAGAATCTGTAATCATGTCCTTTCTTTTCTGATATTTGTATTTATAATATTTTTGTATTTGTGTTTTTTGTTCTTGATCAGTCTAGCTAGAGATTTTTATCAATTTTATTGATCTTGTCAATGAACCAGCTTTTTGTTTCACTGATTTTTTTATGTTTGTCCATTTCCCATCCTATTTATTTCATCTTTTATCTTTATTATTTCCTCTCTTCTACTTATTATAACTGCTTTTATTCCTGGCTTCTTAAGTGAAATCTTATATATCCTCTTGTCAAACTTAGATCTTTACCTATATGACATCAACATTAAACCTGGAAATTTCATAAAGCTTTTAATATACAGGTTCGAGCATGTCCCATCACTGGGCAGTATACTGGATCTAGTTGATGTGCTTCCCCTGGTATCTCATCCTGTCTGTCTCATTCACCTGGATTCTTGCCCAGCTTCCTAGCCAGAGCAGCCTCAGAAATGCTTGTTTGGTACTCATGGTTGTAAAACTAGGTTATCAAAACCTGTACAATAGCCAGATGTTGGCATGGCCTCCATCATGTCCACCTTGGCAAGAGCCGCAGCAGATTCAGTGCCAAGACTGACCAAGATCCTTCAGAGGCTGCAGCTTTCAGCGGTGGCCTGAAGGGTTCAGGTGACACCATCTAGAAATGCAGGGCTGTAAAGGCCGAATATGGAAAATTTTCACCATAAAACGACAGAAGACAGAAACGATGCTGCGAAAGAACTGCTAGCCCCCTCCTCCAACCTGATGGACTCTGAATACACAGTGTTTATTTAAGGGCTCCTCAGAGCTGTGAATGAGTAAAAAACTGTTTTCTTATGAAGTTGTGGCCAGCTTCTGAAAATATATCGTCTTGTGCTGCCTGTTCTTCCTTCCCTGACTCACTTCCCTTTCCTTTCGCCTCTCCTTCTTGCTTCCTTTGGATTTTACTCCTTCCCCTCATGAGTCTTATCACACTCAGGCTCTGTTTTCCAAGAAACCTTGGGTTAAAATGCTGCCATCTAATGAAAAGCAGGATTGTAGCCATTCAGGGGAGTTTGTAGTG